GAAACCTACTTACCAAATTTCGTTGAGATATCTCAATTTTTGCTCGAGTTATCGGGTACACGGACGGACGGACAGACGGACGGACAGACAGACATGGCTTAATCGACTTCTCTATTCATTCTGAGCATTAATGTATACATTTGTCTATATCTATCTCGATTCGTTTTGGCTGTTACAAACAACCATTATGTGAACAAAATTAATATACCCTTGTGCACAAGTGCGCTCGGGTATAAAAACGGTACTAGACTGTCTCGCTTTTATTTCGGAATGCTTACACATTGAGAAGTTAGCTTACTGCCAATATAGAAGTATTACATATATGAATCAGGGGTTATATTCGATGTAAATAAGCTTGTTTGAATTAAATAATTAAATCACTATACTGCCCACCCTTTTGAGGAATTTAGCTACCGTTTTAGGAAGTGTGAATGAATTCTTCCCCTTTTTCTCCTGCTTCCAAAAACCATCCCTTTGGGTGGAAGTGTAAAATTTTAGAAAAAAAGCTACATACAAAACCTTTTATAATTGAATCATGCTTCAACCTGTTTTAATGTACCTAGGTTCGAATCATTCAAACTCATTTCGGTAATAAAGCAGAATATACACAAGTAAACTTGTCTGTACTACATGTCAAGTATGACATACCGTCGCATGGTGGATAGGCGGGTATGCACACCAAATTTTAGGTACGCATACATGTATGATGAAAATTAAAAATTTTCAACTTCTCTGCTTGTTATTGCGACAGGTCTGAACGTTTATAGTACGCAATGCAGACAGAACGTCATATTTGAATAGAAAATTATAAACCCAGCAAACATTTGGATTCACAAATAAATCACTAAATTTCGCATTATACGTTTATTAAAGACTATTTTATGCAAAAAAAGAAAAGCAAGAAATCTTTAACATAGGAACCCATGCAAAACCGTGTAAACGACTTATGTATGTATAAGGATAAATCATTAAAATAACAAATTCTAATCGTTTAAATTGTTTATGATGTATCACGGAAGCTTGTGGGAAACTTTACTTTAGGGTCTGTCGTTGTATGCGCGGTGGGCGTAGCTGTAGGGGCGTGGCCTATCCCACACCCCATTTTAGAGAGGGAATAAACCGCCCTTATAGGTCCCTAGGGAGCCCTGTTTTTGAAGAGAAATTTGACATGCGTTTTCACAATTTTTTTTTTTATTAGATAAAGGCACTCACGTGAGCCTTTCCGTGTTGCCGGAGAAGAGTGGACCCGCAAAACAGAATGGCCGCGCTTAGGGATTATAACCGATACTAAGTAGAATTCTCCTTTCCGTGTTGCTGGAGAAGAGCGGTGGATGCCTCTCTTCTTTTGTCAAGTGTAATCCTTGTGCTACGTGTACATGTGATAAATAATAATTTCGGCCAATCCTTATAAGTGAAATAAAAGAGGCCATATAGCTTTATATCCCGCAATTGTGGATATTTCGACATTATTAAATAATAAAAGTACTTTTAAACAAAAATGAGATCCTTTGGCAACGTGTGCAAGTGAAAAAACATCTGAAAAAATCTTTAAATGTGACTCCATAATGAGCCGTATGTGAGGGCAATAAAAGTCCACTATGGCCAATTTGCGACTCTAAAGGGGTCTTAATCAAAAGTGATAAACTCTTGATAAACTTGATAAAGTGATAAATCTATCATTTTGATAAATGAACTGTCAAACTTTGTATGGAAGTCTATTTAACCAAAGTTTATCGGTTTATCAAACGACTTTGGTGGATAAATGTATAAATTTCAGCAAAATTCAACCCTTACAGGTTGCCAGGTAGTCGCTTTTGCTAGACACATAAAAGCGAATGAACGCAATGGATGAGGTAAACATGAAACGTAACTAGCCATATAAGTTAAATAATAAACAGTTTTATGCAATTATTTACCAAGGTGCGTTCATGAAAGAGGGCGGGTAAACTGAAAAATTTAAGCAATTCATCCCTTTATTACTTCAGATGAAAACCCCTTAAATGTTTGATGGGAAGAAGTAGATCCGTATGCCGTGATTAACGATGCCGTGATTAACGATTACAACGAAATGGAGTTTGAACAACGTGTCGCATATACCGAACTGACATGCGACCAAGGATGCATACAAGTCTGATTGTGTATATTCTGCTTAAAAGTTTTTCTACCATCAAGTTTATTCGTATTGTAATGGGAGCGCAGCAATACATACATATATACATATATTTTTAGATATTCCCTGCAAACCAAAGTTCCCGAAATCGTTAGGAGTATCTGATTTCTGTAACGATTTTTTTACGAATTTTCAAAGAAAATTATATGAAGGGGTTGACACGAACTCGTAAAGAAATTTCTGTACGAAAAATAAAGAAAATTCTGGAAAAATTATGAAAGATATTCTTCACATAGCAGCATTATTTTCGTTGCTTCACAGATTTTCTTCCGAAATTTCGCAAAAGAATGGAAGTGTGCGTAATTTATTTCATTTTAGAAAATTCGGCAAAAAATCGAATTAAATCTTAACGAATTCTTTAAAATTTCTTTAGAATACTCTGAAAAAATGGTTTGCAGGGTTCATACCAAGGCACATAAATACAGGTAGAAGCCAAAATGACGTTGCTCTCATGAGAACCAAACCTTTAAACTTCAACTTGGTTTTCTTTTATTTCCTATATTTCGTTACGCTTTAAATGTCATGCCGTTTTTTTTTTTTGATTGTCCGTTAAAAACAAATTTTAATTAGCATTTGAATTTTTGTTGTGTTGTGTGGTTTATACTTAGTGTATGTGTTAAAAATGCAACACCTGAAGCGGTGTTTTTTATGTGGTGTTAAATATAATGCAGACACCACTCATTTTTTTAACGTGCCTCAATGTCTTTGGCGTAAGGAGCGTTGGAAAAGCAGCTGTGGGGTAGAGCTGCAGCGAAATGCCTTGCTGTGCGTTAAACATTTCAAAACAGCAGATTTCATAAATGTACCGGGAGGTACAGGAAAGGCACGTTTGATGCCAAGTGCTGTTCCTATGACCCTTATGCCGGAAAGTCCCTTCAACAACACTGCAACTCATAAATCAAAAACAGAAAAAAAAACATACAAATTAACAAATTTTAACTAAAGAAAATAAATAAATAAAAACAAAACTTCAAATTCACTTAAAAACGTCAACCAGCGAAATGTAATTTTTTATTTTTCCTTACACACGCTCATTTTTATTTTTACTCTCCCGAAAACTTTGACTTTTGTAGGTTTGATGTCAATTTGGCTTCTACCTGTTTTTATTGTACCATTGGTTCATACACAACATTGTCATTTATTTCAATTCAATTTATTTTTACTTTGTTTGAATGTTGTAATGTTCATAGTGAAAAAAATATATATACATATATATGTATTATTCCACTATGGTAATGTTTACGCATATTCACTCCAAGGCACATAAATACAGGTAGAAGCCAAAATGACGTTGCTCTCAACTTGTTTTTCTTTTATTTCCTATATTTTGTTACGCTTTGAATGTCATATCGTCGTTTTTTTTTTTGAATGTTCGTTAATAAAAAATTTAAATTAACATTTGAATTTGTGTAGTATTGTGCGGTTTATACTTAGCGTGTGTGTTAAAAATACAACACCTGTAGCGTTTTTTATGTGGTGTTAAATATAAAGGAGATACCACTAATCTTTTTAACGTGCTTCAATGTCCTTCGCGTAAGGAGCGTTGCGAAAGCAGCTGTGGGGCAGAGCTGCAGCGAAATGCCTTGCCGTGCATTAAACATTTTAAAGGAGCAAAGTTCACAAATACACCGGGAGGTACAGGAAAGGCACGTTTGATGCTAAGTGCTGTTTCTATGACCCTTATGCCGACAAGTCCCTCCAACCACACTGCAGCTCATAAATCAAAAACAGAAAACAACATACAAGTTAACAAATTTAACTAATGAAAATAAACACATAAAATAAACTTCAAAATTACACACAAACGTCAACCAGAGAAATGTAATTTTTTATTTTTCCTTACACACGCTCATTTTTATTTTTACTCTCCCGAAAACTTTGACTTGTGTAGGTTTGACGTCAAATTGGCTTCTACCTGTTTTTATTGTACCATGTATTCTCAAATTAAAAAAATTTAAACAAAAATCATTCATTCGTTTTGTATACGAACAATTCATAAGCCGTTTTGAATGAATTCATGCAGCCTCTAATATACAGTATTGGCCAATACAATAGCACCCCCATTTCAAAGTGATATCGTTTGCCACTCATGTTTATTTATTTATTTTTAAGAATTTTCAATTAAAATACAGTTCATTCTCTCACAAAACTCACTTAAACTCAAGCTTAAAACTTTTTAACAGACCGCAAAAAAGTGCAACAAATGTTCACCCAAATTTCAAAATTTTTTCTCAGAAGCGGTAGAATTTTTTTGAATGCACAGTTTTATAGCCCATTCAATTTTAGTCTAATAATGTGCAAGTTTGAAGTGGCTAAAAATTACCGTTGATTTTTTAGAATTTTTTTCGCCGAGGATGTTGCGGTTTTCTGCCATATAAAAATAAATTGTGTTTAGTCCATATATGGAAGCAAATAAGACAAGAAAATTCTAAAAAATCAACGGTAATCTTTAGCGACTTGAAACTTGCACATTATTGGACAAAATTGAATGCGCTATAAAACTGTGTACTCAAAAAAATTCTAGAGCTTCTGAGAAAAAAGTTTGAAATTTAAGGGAAAGTTTGTTGCCCTTTTTACGGTCTTTTAAAAAGTTTAAAACATTGGTTTATATGGGTTTTGTTGGAGAATGAACTGTATTTTAATTGAAAATTCTTAAAAACTAACATAAGTGGCAAACAATATCGCTTTGAAAGGGGGGTGCTATAGATATGTCCAATACTGTGAATGTATGTACATATGTACATGTATAAATTTTTGCAACCGTTTTTATGTAGATACAGATTCAGCTTGTGACTTAATTAATTTTCCGCTAATTCTATTTTTATCTCAGGACTCCCTTCAGGCAACGGGTCAGATTAACTTGGAACTCGCTGTCCATTTCAACAACAATGTCCAAGTTGCAACGCATGAACAAAGCATTGAGGCAAGAGCAGGGGCTACGTTGCAGTGGGGCGACAAAATGCAGCTGACGAATGGCCGATCACAACAAACTGAAAAGTACAACATTACCAACAATAACCATGGCGAAGATGATGATAACGAATCGATAGAGAAAAACCAACTAAAACGGTACCATCAGTACATACAATCGCAATTCACAAACAGCTCACAACCAAACACAATGGCACGAGCGATAGCTACATCAGTCACAGGGGTTACGGATAGCAGTATAAAAGGAAATGAAAGATCAAAACCAATATCACACGAGAGAGAGGAGGTCAGTCAACCTGTTCCCTGCATTAGCAGAAGCCAAAACCCCTTTCTCCTCTCGTATTTACACAATAGCATCGTAAACAACCAGAATTGTAGTAACAATAACGACGCTCTACTCAACACAATGCCAGTGGATGTTAGTTGCCCCAACAGTGGTAGACGAATGAACGCTGCTGCAATAAACACAATAACTAACTTATTTGCCGTGGCTTGGAGCGACAAAGCGACAACAGCTGAGAGAGAATGTGGTAGCCGCTGGGAAAGCCACTTCGTTGAACGACGTACTGCGCCACCAGTGGTTGATGCAGTGACGATCATTCAGTCAGCGACGTGCTCATTCGACGGTCGTGCTAGCGCGCATCATTCGCGATCTTCGTTAGTTACCTTATCGTCGTATTCGAATTTATGGAAAAAGACGTTAAGCGGTGTAAGATCAAAAGTCAAAAGAGCGACGCGGCCAAGTTCCGAAAACCTTCGTAACCCATCCGTCTCACCACTGGATACTCTTACACCCAATAAATGCTTGGCGGAACTCGAGCGCTTGTACGCTGAATTTCGGGCGAGTGAAAGTGCGCTAGTGGCCGCTCGTAACGATGCTGATGAAAGCAGCATAAGCAGTCACTGCCGCCAGAAATGGCTTAGTCGAAGTCAAAGTGATAGTGGGGACAGTGCTTGCGGCCATGGTTGTGAATTTTTGAACAACAACGACACCAAAAAAATCATTGAATCCACGAACAATATGCGGCTCAACATACCCGCCGCGGCGAATACGTCATTGTGTTCTCCACCCTCGGAGTCACAGGCGCAGCAAGTGCATACGCTTAAAGTTTTGCCAGCCGGCAGTTCGAGCAGCGTCTTTCTAACTAGCTCCAACTGTGCGACCACAGGTTGTCTGACCAGTAATAGTCGGGCGAAAAGTAGCAGCGACGATCGATGTAAGAATCTGCTGCAGAAAACAAACAATAATAACGGTGACTGCTCCACTAATGTGAGGAATCAAGAAATCAACCATGACGAAGTGGTTGATGTCATTCGAAATGACAGCAAGAGTAATAACGCAATGGTCGCGGTGTTGGCCTCGTCGGTCATTCGGAGTCAGCCGAGCCTGACGATACACGTGAATTCGGATAACAGTGATCAAAATAATAATAATAATTGCACTAATAATAAAAACAATGCTAATTGCAATAATGAAAAAAATTATTGTAATGATTGCGTCGGCGGAGAAGCCACGCCGTTGAATGTAGGCGCACAACCAAAAAATATGGTTAAATGCAATGGCGTTAGTGTAATCAATTGTAATTATTCCAGTGTTAACACAATCAACAAGAGTGCGTGCAAGTTGAGTGCAACTACTGCAATCACAACAATAACCACACCAGTGAGCAGTGTAAATATCAATAAAAGTGTCAGTCAAGTCTGTCGAGTACCAAATGTGCTATGCACTGTCAGAAAAAGCGATAGTTGTAGTAGTATTATTGGTGTTAGTGGTGCCAAAAATAACGGCTTTGTGATCAACAATGTAAATGTTGCCGACAGTGTAAATAGTATAAATTCACATGCTGGGTCACATGGTCAGGAAATGCGAACCCAACAGGTCCCAAATAGTTCCACGACCATACCTCTTATAAGATCGACGCCATCAATAGCAGTGTTATCGCAGACAATGGTGGAGACTCCAGCACCAACAAGTGTATCTGTCGTCATTTCTCAACAGCCACGTACGTTTACGTCAACAGAATGTCAAACCGACGAGACCTTGTCCACGCAAATGCGAACCGATCGGGGTCCCGTCTCACCAGTTTTAAACCGCGTGCAAAGACGTCGCGACAGACGTGAACGACGGCTACTACTTCAGCAACTATCTTCTTCCTGTTCACATCAATTACATCTGCCTTCTCCCTTACGTCGTCCACAAGACCACCACTCAATGCCTCCTGGACCAGTACCTATTACGGGTATATCCGCGATGCATTTGCAATCCAATATACAACATTCAGCGGGGTCTTCCAGTACCACGATGCCTGCAACAATTTCTACGCTGTTACGGCCTATGATACCGGATCTATTACAAAGGCATTTCCCCCCACCCTATAGTGCGTTGCCATTAAATGGCTGTGCATTAACGGCGACAACATCGCCTCCTCCTCACCCAATAGTAGGACTTGTGCCACCACCAGGGACAACGCTCATTACGCCAGTGATATCAACGGTTCCTATGCCAGGTAGTGCACCACCAGTCGCAAATGATGGCCGATTTACTTTGCCACTGCCAATTATAAGAAGGTAAATATAGACCTGTTTTAGAAAATTTGATTGAATAAAAATTAGTATTTCATTGGTTGAAATAACCTGTGCACAAATACAATGCAAAACTTTGGCCACCCAGTGATAGAATTTTTGACAACTTTTAGTTGAAAGCAAAAATCGCCTCGTCCGAACGGCCTTTCAACTAATCGCTTTCAGCAAAGTTGGTCGCCTGCCAACTTTGAGCTCGTTCAACTTTTTTTCCTTGCAACCCTGTGTTTGTTTACATTCTGTATACATGCTTTTTTTCTATTTTACTTTTTTACTTTTATTTTGTCTTTCAGCTTCGCTAAAAGCACTTCTACCAACGCTTGGCTTACCAAATTTACGCCAAGTGATAAAATCCAGTATATTTTGCTTTTCTGCCTCTATGCTTAAGTGCACATTTAAGATACCTACCCCGAAATGCGCATCAAAAGCATTATTTTTAACATTTATAAGGAAACTGCTCCGATAGATGCATTCAACATACCTGCACATTGGCGATACCTGCCTTAAAAATTGTGCGACTAGTATCAATTATCAATGAAAGTATTACATTTACCTGCACTGACCTTACAATTACCTAATTTTACAACCTTTTATTTATTTTGCTCATCTCGCTGAACAACGAAAATGGCTATCAATTTATGTATTTATATAGATAATTAGATAACATTCGGTAAAAATTTCGCTTGCAGTAATTTCTACATGGTAAGTGCTCCGCCAATATTAGGTTTCATAGAGATTCGGATACCTTCCTCATTGAAGTAGTAAAGAAAATTCGCTTAAGTGCCTTTTTCGGTTACGTGCACAAGTTTTTCGTGCAAAGAAGGATTTGCAGCTAAGCAAAATATACTGTATTGCTATTTAAATTCATTTTCAATAATGTAAATAACAATTCGTGTTGAATCGAAAATCGCCTCGTGTGAATAGGGATGGCAACTTTTTTACTTACAACTTCTCATTCAAATTCGCATTCAACTTTTGTTGCCTGTAAAATCGCTTCGTGCAAATGCCCGATAAAGAAAAATACACTTCCATGTATTTTTAGAGCAAACGCGAAAACTGAAGAAAAATCAGATTGCTTTGCTTTCAAAAGCTTTTAAGAGTTGAAATCTGATCAAACAAATAAGCATTTCTAAAGCAGCTTTTGAAGTAAGCTTGCAATCAGTTTACTTCTACAAGCTTAAAATAAATGTTTATAGCAAAAAGTTTATTGAAAGATTTTTAAACCAAATATCTTATAAGTGTTTGACGCTTACATATATTTATAAATCACTTTTCTTCGAAAATGAAATGGAAATGTAGAAAGCGAGAAATAAATGAGGCCGCGAGAGCAGAAGTGGCCTAACCCAAAATTATGTTTTTGGCACTTTCTTATTTAAAATAGTCACAAACGTGATGTTTTTAAAAACAAAGGTCGTCATTCCTTAATTTTAATGTATAAAGCTACATACCGAACGATTAAATTAAGATATATCATGGCCTCAAACGTGGTGAGTCCCATTCTCTAAAAGAAAGGTAAGCTCTCTTCCACAAAATTTTTTTCGAGAATGGGCTGTATTTCGAATTTACAACGGAGGTAAAATACATTGGATAAAGGATGCTCCGTTACGCTGGAGAATGGGCAAGTTATGCTACCGAATACCACTCTCTTACACCATTCATTATCGAAGGTCAGGCAAGAATTCGTTTTCCAATAATTAAAGAATTTTTAATTTAATTTATTTGACGCAAATGACAGTTTTAATAATAATAATAATAATAATAGATTGGCGCTTACACATATCGAGCCCTAACCGCCAAAATAACGTAAGCGACATTTTTTTCAAAATTTTCTTTTTGATGCAGAAATGTATCTAGATGCTCTAGGAATAATTCTGCATCAAAAAGAAAATTTTGAAAAAAATGTCGCCTACGTTAATTTGGCGGTTAGGGCTCGATATGTTAGTGTTTGGCCGAGCTTCTCCTGATAGTTTTAGACATGATAAAAACATTACAAGGTAAATTCATTCTCTCATTTCGTCGGCCATGATTTTTTTTCTGACGTTTGCCAACAGTTTAAAATCATATAAAATTGAGAATAAAAAAATTAAATTGTTAACAATTGTTGTTGTTTGACGTCAGACTGCCTCTCAATGGTTTTACCTTGTTATGTTTTTATCATGGTTTTAGATGTCAATATAACCACGGCAATGGGTTTTGTCTAGTTTAGCACAAATATTGACTGAATCCTTGCACAATTTATTGTTTAATTAAGGTAAGCTCTTGTTGTTTCTCTTATGAAATTACATTTTTAAATATGTAATTTATACTTAAAGGAAAATAATTATATTAACTTACACTGATTTAATTTGGAAAATCTTAGCCACCGCCATGCCGACTAAAACCTGCAACCTCAAGAGCCAGTACCGGTAGCCTTCACGCGACGCCACAGCCGACATTTGTCAGGAAAGCAATTATGTAATTGCGTTTTATTTTTGTCTTTGAAAACTCAAAAGCAAATGTCGCTGATCGCATAAGTTGCTCGAAATTGTCGAACTGGTAGGCCACCTTTAGCTCGCACTAGTCAATGAACTGGTTAACTGATTCGGTTTTTGACTGTAAGGATATTTTTTTGTGTTTGAAACAGCAAATAGCCAGTGTTGGGACTATGCCACATTTGTGGGAGAGCTTGCCCTTCGTTTTGCTAAATTGCATTTCTACTACATCATCGACTTTAAAATAAAATAACTACATTTTGAAATTTCACCTTTTTAGAAATTTATTTCAAAACTTTGCTAAATAGAAGGCGCTCTGTATAAATCCTTTCACATTTTTAATTGGTTACAAAAGCATATGGCCCAAATCGCCGAAAACGAAACCAAGGTGAAGTATTTTTTTCTCAGGTTTCGAAGATGTTGGATCATGTCTGGATCATACATATTCTAAGGTATCGGACAACACAACTCTCCTTCTCTCAATTATGAAAATTCACTTAATCCCGAGACAACTTTAAATTAACGAAAATTAAAAAATCACAACTGAAACTAAGTGGTAGTGTATATTGAAGGACCGCCATTTTGTTGCACTAAACTTGCTTCCCTTCGCTTGCCTTGTATTATTTTTGAGTAAATATAAAAAGAATTTGACAAAAAAATCAGTTATTAGCCTTCTGCTTATATGAAAATAAAGTCGGCAGCATTTTTTTAATGTAATGTAACAGTTCAAAATATGAAACAATTTTTTGGCGCGAATTCTCCAGGTTAAAAAATGGGAAAGTCTAGTTTTCTTCGAGTATTTACGGCCTTCTTTCATAATGAAATAAGATATCCTCGTATTCTTCTTTATCTACATATGTGTTTTAGGTGGAAAACTTTTTGTAACGTAAGAGTTTTTTTTTACTAATTGAATTTTCAGGTAAAATTTTTTTTGTTAGTTAGAGAGGGCTCGTTTTGCAAGCATTATTTAAAGCTATTCGGCGTGTTATTGTCCTTTAATTAAGATGTTTATTCCGTTTTACTTACATAGGCTCAGAAAATAAGTATTAGTAGAAAAATAAAATAACGATAGGATTAGGTTATTTAAAAAAGAACAACAACAAAGAAGAATAAAATTTCCCGATTAAATAAAAAAAGTCTGCTGGAACTATTTCGCCTGTTTTCCTAGTACTAATGTTGTCCTTCAAAATCCACTCTCGAATGGTGCTATAAATATGTACATAAAAACACCGCCAAACCAAGCATATGCTTTCTATGTCATTTTTAATGGTCATAGCTTCTCAAGGAATAATCTTTAAGCACCACTCAAATGGCGCATTTTGAGCCAACAAACAACAGCAAACAAAAATTGCTATTAACCTCGAAAAACCTCAACATCTTGGCGCAGTTCTAAGCTCGAGTTCGAGTTCTACGTTGAAAATGATTTCCGAAACGACCTACAGCTGCACAACATCAGAAAATTTCGTAACTGTATTCATAATTATCAAGTTGTTAGTTTCTTAAGATTACATGTCAAATCACAAATCTACTAAATTCATGCTACTTATTGCATAAAATACTTTAAAAACTTAATTTTAATCTTATCGCTAGACATCTATCACACAGGTAACGTAACAGTCTCTTTCTGTAACGTAACAGTTCGACTATTTTTGGCAAATATTGACCTCAAAATGAATTTTATCAGTTCAATTAATACGTAGCTCTTTAGTTCCATCCTTAAGCTAGGAAACTGCGTACCAAATTTTGAAAATATTATATTAGGAGAGCAGACTTTTTCGATAATATAAAGCAGCTTTAAAAAGTACTTCCAAAATTTGTAATGGAAACATTAATTGTTCATTGTTGAAACATTCATAACTCCTCAACAAGAGGAGTTACAATATATTTTGCATATATATTAAATATAACCACATACTTAAGCTTTCAGACTCAAAAAAAAAAAACTATCCGAAAGTTGTATTATATTGAGTTTCAGTGGTATTTGAAAATCAATGTTAGCCAAAATGTAATGTAACAGTCCGCGTTTTGGGCCATATGAACATTTTCGCCAACAAAAACTTATCAAAAATCCACGGTAAATAAAATGCAAAACTAGCCCAAATTCAAATAAATTCTAATAAGTTCTTATTGAATTTAAATTGGATTCCTATCTGAACTACATAGTATGATGACTGCATCACAAACGACAAGGTAGATGTCCATGTTAGTTTTGCATTTTCTCTGTATTCTGCGTGCTCTGATTTTTTGTCAGTGTTGCCACTTCAAATTGGTCCGCATAAATTTTGAGGATTAGCTGGAGCACTTAATCCGAATAAATTATAGTTAAATTCCGAGATAATTCCGAATTTTCGAGTTTATCTCGATCAACGTTGCCGTCTGTCTATGCTTTAAGATGCACTAAGCCGCGTATTGTATACGTAAATGGGTCGACATCGCAGCAAACAGTGTTTTGTAGCCAAATTACATGTGTTTAGAAAATCAAAACGTGCCAATCTCAGTCATATATACAATTGATTG